AGGTGTGGATGAGTTTTTCGAAAAACCTTCTCTGATCCTGAAAAGTGCACTTGATAACTCCACTTATAGCAGATAACACATACCCTGAACAGACGGAATTGTTCTTGGATAATATCTCTCTCTGTGACGCGTGCGTTTCGCGGCCTGCGGTCATCCTCGCTGTCGGACTCAAAGTCTTCCTAGACAGAAAAGAATAGGGAAAAATGGAAGAGCTTTGTACCCACCATGTTCGGCTCTACAAAGTGTGCGTCGTCGTCTTCTAAAAGCTCTTCTTCAGGATGGCCTGCTTTTTTCTGCAATTTATGCTATAATAATATGTATAAAGAGTTTCTATTAGAGCAAACCTTTCCAACTGAACTCTCCCCTTCTTTGAATGGAACAGTCATGGGCGTCTTATCGAAGAACTCCCATAAGGCTTGCTCACTTGGGCTGTCGAATGGGCATTGATTGTTCGATTTTTCGAAAAAGTCTTTTTCTTGGATTGATCGGCCTCCCCCGGTTTTCGTACGATATCTAAATTATAGACTTACTTAACAGCAAAAACCGTGAGAAACTCACCTTTTTTCGGCATTAGTCCCTTTTTTCAGAGACATCCCTTTCACGATGACCTTTGACCTGATATGGTCAAAGTGGTTGCGTAGCTTTTTTTCATTTGCTTCAAAACCAAATTCCTCTCGTAATTCAGTGATCAGGTTCTTGTAAGCCGCGCTCCTCCTTCCGTTCTGAGAAACTGTTCTGAGGTTCGTATCACTGAGAAGAACGTCAGAATTTCGAATGTAGTAGTCGACTATATACTTCGATATGGAGTGCGGGATCTTTGCAGGAGGTGCTGAACACTTTATCGCTTTCATTGTATTTCAGCATTGTTGGTTGGGTGCATACCTTTGGGTGGCGCTGAGAGATTCGCGTTCGTTTCCCACATGTTCAGCTCTTTTGAAATTTCTGTGCCTAAACTTCACACCAATCAAATTGAACACTCGTTGAGTCCGAATAATGATTGAGCGGAAACAAATCACCAACAAACAAACATTTC